TGTAAGATAATTTTATTATTATAAGGTAGATGTGCACTAAAATCAGGAATGTAGAAACGATATTTATAATTATATATGCTACGTAATTCATACATTATATCATAAAGCTTTTGATTAGAGTTAGTATTACGACCTAATCTTGAAATTTTATTCATTTATTTTGTTATGATATTAGAAAATATATAGATCGCTAAATCGATGTGAATAAATTGAACCTAAATGAAAGGTTTGACAGTATTGTAACTAAAAATTGCAATATAGGTTGATAATAAAATATTCTGATTAATATAAAACGAGAACTTTATACATTTTTAAGTAAAACTCAACACATTAAGAAAATTATCTATGTTACAAACACAAAATTCAGAATTTGTTAACACATGCGTCGGGTGTATTAAAAAGGATTGTGTAAAATTTGTACGTATAATATTCTAATAAGAATGGCATTTTTTTACACATTTAAAACAAATATTACACAATCTTTTTTATAATGCAAGTTAACATAATGATAAGAAAGTAGATCCTTATGTCATGAGAATCAATCAAGAAAGTAGTCATGAGAACCAATAATTGTACATAGATCATTATGTCATAAGATTACTATACCAAATTAAAACCACTCGATACACTCGTTTCATTACGTTTCTGGTTAATACAGACACATTCAACATTAAATTTTTGTTTGAGTTTAGTCTGTACAAAATTTATAAAAAAAGACTATCAAGAAATACATAAAGGCTACGAATATAAATTCGACTTTATAATAAATATATTATATACTTCCATTTCTTTTAAGTGCTTGAGAACTCAATTTGTAAAAGTTCTGCTAACACCTAAGTGTTTACCAATTTTTTGAATTAATAAGCCCTCTAAAGTTTTTTTTTCATTTGCAACGAAGTTGCTTTAAAAGTAGATATGTGTATGTAGTCTTATAATATTCCCTATAAAATAATTCGACTCCGTATTGAATATTTACAGGATGTTTATTGGATATTATATGTTTTTTGTACGATTAGTATTTAATTAAACATTACTTTAACGTCCCGTAATGAAAACATTCTAAGAATAAACCCCTGTTCGAAAAATCGACACCATTTCGAACAATTTTAGACCGAAATTTTATAGGGATTTTATATTAGTCACCTGATCTTAAATTTCATATTGAATCTATTATTATGCAGAAATCAAAAACTTAATCGAATCGTCCGGAAAACAGCTGTAAGCATATTTCCAGGATAGAAATTGAATAAAAATCGGCTAGTCGTTTATAATATGTAAGAGAAGTTGGCTTATTTAGGTGATAAATTGGCAAATAGCAAATATAATATAATGTTCGGTGGCATAGACAATCAATCAACATAAATACTAACGTGCCTAAATTTTTCAAGGACAAAAAGAATAAAAATTAAATCATTTAATATCATAAGAATTCGACAAGAAACTACTTGATGGCCCTTTGCACGTTTAATATAGATATGTTGACTGATTTTGATATAAAAAAAAATTTACACCTGCAAAAAGGTCGGCTCGGTCGACAGACCCGAGCTTTTTTAGGATCGACCCCGGCCCACGATTTTTTCATCGACCCGTATCACTACGTAATGCCGTATCAGTCGATCGATATGTCACATGTTAGAATTTACCCAAATTTTATAAGTAAAATTTTGCTTAAATTTGCTTTCTAGGCTTATTTAACAATAAAGAAGTTGTCGGTGTAATTTCTAGACATCATTTCGCAAATTCTCTAGCATTTGAAGGTTCTTTCTATGAAATTTCAACACTATAAATAACTTATAAACAAATTGTAAAAATCGTCAAAAAATTGCCCAACTTCATGGTCATGATTCTTTTGGGTTTTATTTTAACCACCCTTGAAATTTCACAGAAAGAACCTTCAAATGCTAGAGAATTTGCGAAATGATGCCTAGAAATTACACCGACAACTTCTTTATTGTTAAATAAGCCTAAAAAGCAAATTTAAGCAGCATGGAGGACATTCGAATCCGATAAATTCCGGGATCAATGTTACACAAATATTTATATGGCATAGTACTGTAAAATCGGAAACTTCGCGTTGTTAGCGGATAAGTGACCAACACACACACCCACAAACAAAAGGGAAATGACAGTCAGTTGTTTAACAAAATAAGGAAGACATGGCTAACAATACTTAGTAGAGAGTGAGGCGGATAACGATTTGGCACGGGTCCAAGCCGCCTACTAAGTATCGTTACGTAAGTAATTTGGTACGGTTTTTAATGAACATTTGATTTGGTTTTACTGGAGGGCTTTTATTAATAACCTTATTATTCGTAGGGCAGATAGTACACACTAGAACGATTTTATCTTGGACAAGAGGAATTTTACCTCTTATTTATAATAAATTCACAGGGCAAGGAAAAGATCAAGATCGAATGCTTTTCCCATCTCTTTTTCATTGAAGCGTCATTGAACTCACGCCTTTTACCCCTTTTTTTATCTAATTCCAACCCCTTTCTCACAGCCATTCTCATTGAAACGCTCAACGGAATGTAAAGAAGGCAAAAAAGAAGCTAAGTCGAATCAAGGCTTTTGTACCATCATCGTTCTTTACCCGTCAATTTACTCATTCTCTCATTGACTCTTTCATCGATTCATGTGCTTTAACGTTCACAGCCACACACCTTACCCAACAAGGTAATATTACCTTGACAGCTGTCAACTGAATCGGGTAAGTGTCTCTTGCTTCAATGGGATCGTTAATGGAGGCTTGGCTTTCATACAATCATCGCTCTAATGCTTCATTATGGTGGACTTGGCTTAAGCAGGTTTCTTGTATATGATTGTCAGGTGAAAATGAGGGTCCTGGAGCACTGCAGTATAGCAGCACTTGTGTAATGGATTCATGCATCCAATGTGCAGAGTTCTGCATGATTCTTGAATTCCATGGGCATACGGTTTTGCCAGTAACAATTCTTCCCACCTTAATTTTTCACATCCCGTGAAAAATCCAATGCGTCAGTCTTGGAAGTCACTTGATCGCAGTCTTCTTCAGTGCAGTAATACGAAAATGTTTTGTGTTTGTTTTTTTTTTTTTTTTTTTTTTTTTTTTTTTTTTTTAACTAAAGTCTATATACTAACACTAAATAGAAAAGCAAAAACTAAAAACTAAGAACTAAACACACAAAAACTCAAACAAACAAAAAAAAAAGTCACAAAAAACTTAAACAAAGAAAAAAAACTCCAACACACAAAAAACACGTCCACGTCCAAAACGAAGAGAATCAACGAAATTACCCTTGTTATACATTCCTTAACCCCGCGTACAACTGTCGTGCGCGACCACTAAAAATCTAAAGGTAAAATTATTTTTTTTTTTTTTCCATACTTCATCTTACTAATCGGGCTGGATTTTGTTCATCAGGTTTCTCCAGGATCGAACATCCGTATGACACTCCATAGCAGCAGGTACGAAGGATCTCTTGCGGCTGGGTTTACTGTTATGAGCTGATTTTTGGTTGTTTTTACTAACCCTATACCTATTTTATTTTTATTAGGCGAGCTTTTCTGAATCTTGATTTTTACGACATATTCATCCAGCGGCGGTTTCTTTTGTTTTTCGCCCATTTTAGCAGATCTTCGTATAACTTGACCGGAGCGGTATTGAAATTATGAGTTTGTTTAGAGGAAAGGTCCTCATTTTCAAGACGACTCTCATTCCAGCAGCAAGATCCACCGGGATCGAATTGTCCAGCAGATTTATCACCTTCAGCATCTTTTCTATACCATTCATATGGTTCATCCATTTCAACACCGATTTCTTGAAACGTTCCTTCGGCAGGCTTCATCGCGGTGGGTCTTTCTACTGCACACGTGTTCATCCGTAATTCACTAACTTTCTCTATTCATTCTTCACATGCACGTTGCAGGGCTTCTTTTTCCAGAAGTTTTTCGGGTCGGGAACTATTCAATTTTTCATGACTATCATCATCACTAA